TACAGTGCTGATGAAGAAAGAAAAATCAAGCAGGAGCAGCAGTGGACCGTTTTGTATAGGTGGAAATGGAAACCGCAGGAGATCTCATCCTGTTTTCTCTATGCAGTACAAAAAATATATTATTGTAGTTAGGTTGGGTCCTGGGTGGCCTCAACGGGTTCAAATTTTGAAATATGTGGGGGAAAACTGATCCCCTCAGTGTGGTGATGGGAAGAAATTGTTGACCAGAAATTTGGGGTAAGATTTATTGCACACATTTACAAGTAGAATTTGACAACAAAAATCAAATGTTATGCTTCCTCTCACCTGGAGAAGTTTGAGTTAGGATGTTTAATTCTTCCATTAGACTGCTTCTAAAAAAGGTATATTTCCTTTTCATGATATCACACTGAAAATTAATTGTCCCACATTTTAAGCAGAGAATAGCCTAGGAAAAATACTTTGAGAGCATGTTATTTGGGTTTTTTTTTAACTTTATCAACAAATACTAAAACCAATGGGTTTCCTTCAATCTATATCTATTTAAACAGGTTGATTTCTCATCTTAAGACTTGAATCTAGCTAGGTACCTGACAGCTGAGTAGCTGTTAACCTTATATTTTCATAAGTCTGTATGTTTTGAAAAGAAGAACATACTTCACTTTGCTGTTCAGGTCCAACAAAAATATGGGGAGTCAAACCTAAACCATTTGTACCCTTTTCTATCAACCCCACTCCCCTCTACCCAGCAACATTTCTGGACCACAAAAACAGCCAAAACTTGATTTTTCATGGGAACTTGTAGAAATACATGTAATGAAGGCATAATGATTTATGTAACATCAAAGAATTTTAATATATTTCTGTCTTTGCGAGCAGTGTCTAAGAATCAATAATTCTTTTAAGGCAATCTAGATAACTGTCTTCATTAGATAAAATATCAAAACTCTACAAAATGACCAAAAATAGAAGTGTGCTGGCCTTGTGAGTAACACTTTGGAACAGATATTTCAAAGACTAATGACATTCTTATTTGAACATTCTGTGGTTCAGTGTTCTTTCCTATTTTTAAGCCTGATGTTAACTCAAGTAGAAGGTTCAGCGTATTTGCTTTTCATATATTTAAATAAAATAATTCCTTTTGTAAGGTAGACATAGGAGCAGGGAACCTTAATTTGTTAGTAACCAATCAAAAGGGCAAAAATAGCACTGAAGCCGGGGATTCAGCTCTGTGGCATAGGCACCTTCCTGGCAAGCCTAGAGTCATGAGTTCGATCCCAGTACAAAAAAAAAAAAAAAAAATTGGAACCTCTGTCCTTTATCCTTTAATGTGTGACCACAATCTTCCATCCTTGTCCTATTTTCATGGAAATAGATGAGTAAAGTAAAAAATGAAACAAAGAAAATTGTAAGTAGTAGTTGCTTCTGGAGTAGAAAGGAAGTGCTAATTAGTAATAATAAGTGACATGGATTGCACCTGGGTTCAAAATTATCTGCTAGTTAAATCAAGTAATGCTAAGTTCAGTATGACACTGAGTTCAGTAAATCCCACTTGGAAGGCCAGATAAATCAACTAAGGAGAGCTGTCATACGAAAGATTCCCATAGCTTTGTAAAATTTAGTCTGATTCTACATTTTAATTGCATCTTCAATGTAAAATAATTAAAATGTATATTTTATTTGAGAAATATATGTAATAATGTTAAATTGTATTAAACATCTTACAATGAAATGTTATAATCATATGATTATAGTTCTACACAGATCCATTTATTGTGTCAGGCAGTGTTTACTAAGTGTTTACAAGATTCATTCAGCCAAATGTTTCAGGATTATTTTCCTTGCAATACACATATTAACAGATATCTGAGGACGCAAGAATAATGTGTTGTGTCTCAGGTCCTAGGAAGAGAGACAGACATAAATGACACATAGTATCTTCCCTTACAAATTGCTGATAAACTAGAGATCGACGCACACATGACTAATCGGATAAAGCACAACAATAAGTCACATCAGAATTAATTCTAAAATCCCAATTCTAAACGGGGGAAAAATCCAAAGAAATGAGAAGAGATTATTCAGAAAATAAAGTATTGATGATCCAGGAAGAAAGAGGTTATATCTTAAGTACAACTGGATGAGCTTAGATCTATAACAGCTAAGAAGGATTGTAACAGATTTCAATATATTCTTTTCACGTGCTTTTTCGCCTATTATTTCATGCAATTTATGTGAGCTTATTGCCCCAAAGCCTTACCTTTTTAAATCACAACATTACATTTCAATGCATGGGGAATGCATAGTTTGATTAGCGTTCACTTGCTGTCAGATATTTTGGTGCCTTCATTGTTTCAATAAACTATCACACCCATTTCAAGAAAATAAAACTTTAAAAAACATTGAAAAATTCATAAAAATGTGCTTTATAGTTTTGCAGATATTACTATATGTTGCAGCATTCATCTCTGAGAAACACCTGTCTATTCATTTTAAATAGCATGCAACAATAGTGTAGAAGTAGACTAAAGTTCCTAGATGTTGTGTGCTTTTAGATAATCATAAAATTTTAGATATTAGAATGGAATCATTTCAATCACTATATGTATACCTACAATTAAGTACAATCTTTGCAGTGGTTTGAGAGTGTGCCCTAAAATTTTGTATGCTTGAAAATTAATCCCTAAATCAATGCTAATGATATTTGGAAGAGGAGTATTTGCAAGGTAAGTGGACTAGATGAGGTCACAGGTGTGGTGCTGTCTAGGATGATGGCAGTGGTTTTCTAACAAGAGTAAGAGATCCCAGCTAGCAATCTTGCAGTGTCTTGCTATACAATGTTCTGTACCATGTTAAGATGAAGCACAAAGGGCCTTACCAGATCCTGAGTGATAGTACCACATACCCTAGAACTACTTTGTTTCAGAAACCAGAAGTCACATACTGTATCTTTTATAAACAATGTGTCCTTGTGTATTTTATAATAGTTTTAAGAAACAGACTAAGATGATTACTAACGTATAGAAAACTCAATTACTGCATGAATGAATAAATGAACATACACATGGACATATGCATGTAATTTAACTCCACCATAAAGGATACGTTTAGCGGGTAGATTTTGCTTATATCTACCCATTGATTTGCTTGTTGTCATGTAATATTCACTATGCCCTGTGTTAAAATTATTGGCTTCAACTGCACACTTCTGGTTGCTAACCTACAATCACTCTGCTCTGTTTTCCTTGCTAACACATGCTGCTTGTGTTTAGAAACCTTTTATGCTCCACTTCAAGGATTAATAATGACTGAGTTGATGGCATACTTCAGTGAGATTTTTGCCACTGCAAGTGGTCATATCACTCATTTCTTGTCATGAAGCCTAGAATTGAGTTTCTTGAAGAAATTTCAGGGAATCGTTATTTTCTATTTCTGATAAAAACACAAAGAACAATAGCAATATTAAAGGAAAAAGCACATTTCCTGAACATCATCCATGATTACTGTTTTTGAATGGCATGAACTATGGATTTGTCCCAGCCATCCGGAAACAGCATTTCGATGGGTCTGTGATCAAAAAAGCAACCACCTGCAGACAATGGAGTTCAGAAATATTCTTGGCATCATTATTGAACTGTGCCAATTCTGGATTGCCACCCTCCAGAGGGCCTTGCATTTCAGATAATTAAATGTTATTTCAGTCATTGTAGCAAAGTTCGCTCTTCCTGGCTTCAGAACATATCTTCTGAACAATTTTTACTGTTTAAAATTTATGCACAATATATGTAAATCTATTTATCATAATATTGATGGCATCATTCCATTTATCACTGTTCTGCCTTCTTTGGGTTTAGAATAAATATTACATTTGGGTAGTTTTTCTTTAACCTCACATACTGATTATATTTAAGTGCAGTCCCTTGTCATTTATTGCATCATGTGAAATATAGAATGGCTAAATTAATTAGCCTTTAAACAGAACCCATGGGAACATATATTATTTTTCACATTATTTTCTTTTTTTTTAGTTGAAGATTGTACCCAGGGCTGTTTACAAACTAGGCAAGCACTATTTTACCATTGTGCTACAAATCTAATCCTGTATTTTTTTAATCACAGTTGAGATTCTTGTAGTCAATTTAATTTTTTTTCTGATCATTTTAAAGGTTTTTAATATTATTCCTAAAGCTTGATGATTACAAACTTTTACATTTTATAAAGTTTACATAATAAATATGTCATGACATTTTAAAATATGTTCATCCTTGATTAAATCAACAAACTTGTAAAATTTCAACTTTATTAACAACTTGTCAAATTATTTAAAACACTTTATAAGGGCCTTAATCACCACTCTTATAAAGAAAAAGACAAAATAGGTGTAATCAATTATTTATTTTTTCTATTCTCTCTGATTACAAAGAAAAGATTTAAAAAAATACATTTCCTGTTTTCAGTTACATTAATTCCTAGTTCTTGGTAACTCTATGTTTTAGATTAATGCAAATGTTCTTCCTATTATTTCCATCAGTCTTCTACATTGTCATTATCTACACATTGAATTTGTGCAATCTTAATTATTTGCATTTTTTGTAGTGTTCTGCAAGACTTCCATGTGGTAATCATCTTCAGAAATACTGTTTTCATTCCTTTGTTTTCCACTGTATCATTTACACTTTCAAACCCTAAGAGATATTGCATGAATTTCTAATACCACATTAAATTGAAAAAGGCCAGGATATGTTCTGATCCATTTATTATTTAGCAAAATACACATGAATTAGAATAATGACTTATTTTAGGGGTGTATATTTTTGTTTTATAGATATTTTAAAATAACCTGAGCTTTTATATCAGTATAATAATGTGTAATCAATTATATACAGCATAATGTATACCTGTAAAAATGTCTTTTATGTGATGCTTAAGTAATTTCCTGATGTTTATCATTATGCAGCCAGACTGTATACAGAGCTCTCATTATTTTATTAATTATATTTCTCTATTAATAACTTACTCACCTTTAGAGCTACCAAGCCAAGTCCTTGAGTTTCTGTCCTAAAAACAGGAGAAGGAAAGTAGCTATTAATAAACCTTAAAGCTACAGATTTGAACTGTAAAGCCCAGGAAACATTTTTGTAAGTATTTTTCAAAACATATACCTTCACTTTTGTTTACCAATCCCATAATTAGGAATTCCCAAAGCATGACTTACAACCTGTTTTGGTAGACTTCATATGAGTTCTTTAAACAAATGACAATGATAAAATATAAGGATAATAGCAAATGTTAATAAAACATTGCTTTACTTAACTGTGGTCTGCAAATATAAATGCATTAATTTTTCCTTCCTTTCCTAGTTAATCATCAGAGTAATATTTTAACATATTGAATACTTTCAAATTTATATATGATATTTAAAAACTTTTCTGGATTATTTTTGGCTATTACTAATTTATACATATATATAGACACATATTTGACACTGTTTATGAAATAAAAAATTATTCTTTGAATATTTTATGTATTTTATATGAAATGTTTGAATTTTTGAAAAGTTGTAAGAGTTTTATTATATTTTGCCACTTTATAATTATCTTTTGACTTTTTATGTACCTATAAAGAGATATTTTTTTTCTCGGTTTAATCTATTTAATTTATACTTAGATGGAGTTTTCTAGTATCTGTACAGATTATTAGTTGAAATTGAGTTCAGAGTCACAACATTTAACATTTCTAAAAATAGGCTGCTAGGCTGTCTTAGTTATTTTCTATCATTGTTCAGACAAAATACCCAACAATCAAAGTTGATATGGGTAAGATTTATTTAGTTTACAGTTTGTGGAGGTCCCAGTACATAATTAGCTGTCTCAAAGGCAAGGTGGCATGACAGAGGGGCAACCTCTGGTGGAATGGTGGAATACAGCAGAAATAACAAGAACAAAGACAGGAATGAGTCTCTTGTCCTCCCTTACATTGTACATAGACTACCTACTCTAGGGTGAGTGTAGCACTCACACTTGCGATCTCAGCACTGAGACAATGAACCAATCAACAAACGCTAGATTCAGCTGCCTCAAAAGCCCACTCCCCATGACTACATGAGGCTTTGGGGGACATCTAGATACAAACCATAGTATAAGCCATTGTTCCTAAGTTGTATAGTATGATATTTTAATGTACGATCTTAGCCATAAAAATATATTAGGAATTTTACTAAACTTTATCTTTGCAGGTTTTCAATCACTTGGATGGTGAAACTATTAAACAGTAATCATTAACTAATGCTGAATTAATGAAAGCATAAATGAAGCATTGAAGGATTTGGAGCTTTATATGATTACCTTCAAGTTTAATAAGCATTGTATCTTCTAGCTTAAAATGATAAATTCTGAATAATCTGAACATTGTAACATGGATCTTAAAACAATGTTCTACAAATATCCTCTAAAATATCTCTTAATTTTGCTATCAATTCATGAGCCAAAGTCCTTTGGTTTCAATTGTTCAATCTGCTAAGAAGCCAATTTATTTGTGATGTACCTTCCAATGCTAGTCTACTTAACTATAATGTTACTTTGGATTAATCAATCAATACATTGACATAGCCCAGATGAGTCAATATATTAATATTACCCCAAGAAAATCAAGTTTATGTGAAAATTATCCATTGTGCTTTCTTAATATGCTGGTCAAATAAACTTAGTAAATAAAAATAGAATTAGGAATTGCAATCATGTATAATCATAGTTGTCTTTGCTTTTGTTAGAATTCCTCTAAGATATTTCAAGGCTATATTTTAAAAGATATATGCATTCATTATTGTTACTGTTTTTACTATATATTCTACATTATTTAATTTCCTAATCTTTTTTATTATCTTTACTATTATAGATGTATTATCTGATTTTATAGGTAAAATACTGGAATTTCTTTTATTCACACAAGCTGGTATTTTCACATTTCTGGTGTTTTCCTGGCACATTTATGCATTTTATATATAGATAAAATCATTTAAATCTTATTTTCTTAATCTTTATTGTTACCTGTTGGGGTCTGTGCCTAGATCCTCAGTCCCCCCAAAAGGGTGCACAGCAAAGGCCCAAAGAAATGAGACAAGTGGCACAATCTTTAGGGTTCCAAGAGGACTGAAATCCTTGGCAGAGTCTGCAACTCTGCAGGCCAGCCCAACTGATGCTAGGCAGCCCGTATTTAATTAGAACAAGCAAGGACCTGAGTGGACAATGGAGGAAACCTGAGCAGGATGTTGGGAGGTGTTCAAGGACTCCTTGGAGAACCAGAAGATGCTAATTAAGGAAAACTATCCCCAGAAAGTCTCATGTGGCCTCAGCTGTGGCCTATTTTGCCCTCTGAGGTGTCTCCTCATTCTCAGTTCAATCTTTATTTTTTCTTTTGTATATATTTGTTCAGTTTTTAATAAGGTTAAATGTGTCAGTCTCTTCAAATTAACAAAATTACATAGGTCCAGAAGCTGATGGAACATGCGTAAACATAAAACAATTATGCAAATTTGTCATAACTAAATGAATGTTATTCTTCCTAAAAACTTTCTTGTAGCTAGTTTTTAAAATACAATATGTATGTTGTGACACTATATTGTGTTATCCTTTGTTTTGGTTTGGTTTAGTTTTTTGAGACAGGGTATCACTATGTAGTTCAGGGTTGGCTTGAACTCACTACGTGATCCAGACTACCAAAATTCATGGCTATATTTCTACTTCAGTCTCCTGAGCTGGGATTACAGGAGAGTACCACCAGGCCCATGGTGTTATTTTTATTAACATATTTTGCTTAACAAGATCAAGTCTCTGTAACAATTAAAACTCATTGTCTTCTTTAAACTTATATTACTTGAGCTTTTAAATTTCTCTTGCTTTATAGATTAGTAGTTGACAAATTATTTTGGCCTCTAAGTTTGACATACACCCAGTTTCTGCCTGTAAAGTAAAAAACTATTTTGGCATCATTATACTGATGTAAATTCAATTAGCATTATTTAGCTTTTTCCCCATTTTCCTTTCAACATGGACTTGATATTAAGATTCAGAATTATTCATCTGCACACTTCATCATTCTCTTTTTCTTGGCATCTTATAAAGTAATTCCTATGTTTTTTAAAGTCTCAAAATTTTTAGTTTAATTCTAGGTGTTGTTCCTCATTGATTGTCCCTGTCAATACTACTGATCTCCAAACTGAATTTATTGCTTAATATATGAAGTATATCTGTACTATTATCCTGATATGAATATTTTTCTAGAACTGAGTTTTAAGTCCTTGAAATCAGAAAATCATGCCCTATTAGTCTTTTACCTCCCCCCAAAATATCATTTACATGAATATCTATATTTAATCTATTATTAAGGAGTAGCTAGTCTCTCTACTATTCAATCTAGCTAACGTGCTATACTTGACAGTGCACCTGCCATCTAGGTGTATGTCTCAGTGGTGGCTCATTAGCCTCCTATGTGTAAAGCCCTGATTTTGATCTCTGTAACAACAAACAAGCAGAATAGAATGAAGAAAGCCACAGCTATCTCATATGAAGCATTCTTGGATGCAAGGGTTTTACCTCCCATCTGGATTAATGCAAATATCTTACAAAAGCATTTATTGTGGTTGCTTTTAGATTCCATTACAGTTCCTGTAACCATGAGGTCATCAGTATGGTAAACCAGGATGACATAATGATATTCAGTTTGATAAGCAAGATCTCTGTGGACCAAAATGGTGCAAATTAGAAAAACTGATTTCAGAGATAAAGCAGAAAAGAAATCCTTCAGGAAGGAAAGCAAGCAAGTCACTTAGCAGTTTTTTTTTTTTCCTTAATCAGATGAAATATTCATTTTAAAATAAGAAAACCAGGTAATAGAGATTTTTGTGTTCATTGTACCAACATCTAAGATTATGGCTGGAGCTTGTGTCACTACATATCTTGTTAAGTTTTTGGTAATCTGTTACTATTTTATGAAGTTTTTCACACTGGCCAAATTAGAGCATTACATGAAATTTTGTTAAAGTTCCAATGGCAGATTTTGAGTTTTGAGCGTAAGATATGTGACATATCTGTCCCACAACATAGGACTTTGCTTTTGTTTAATTGGGTTTGGAGCAGGGTTTGCTATGGAGACTTCAACTTAGTTCTTACGTATTAGTTATTCTATGTGTCAATCTGATACAGAGATTTTTTGCGAGTTGCTTATATGTCTTTCAATTATATATTCTGGAACTGGGGAAAAAAGTCTGCATAACATATTTTCATACCACTTTCTCTGACACAAGTCAGATCTATTCAGAGTTCTTAGCACCTTAGAAAATGTGAAGGCCCTTAATCTTAGGTAACCTGGATATAAGAGTATCATTTCTCTGTGTTAGTTAGACCTATGCCTTGGATAATTTCATACATTTTCATGCCTTACAATAAAAGCTCTGTGCTGATGATAAGCAAGTTGGTACATTAGGCCATCTGGCTTTCTTTTAGGTTTTTTTTTTTTTTATTTCCTGATTCATACATCTAACTATTGAATATTTCCCCTCTCAGCGTTGATTCAGACATAGCCATGTTCATATATCCTCAGGGAACACCAGGAGGGTGGCCTTTTGCATTGCTTCATCTCTCTGCCCATAATTCTTTTCCTAAAGATACCAACAGACAAAGCTCCCCAGCATCTCTCTGGCTTTACTTGATTTTTACCATAATTACCCTTATTATAATTGCAACCTCCTTCCTGACTCTGTGTTACCATATTTTTATGCTCTATACTTGCTTGTTTACCTTGCTATTTCTTAATGCTTAACATAATAAATCATGTCTACATTTGAAATTTCTTTTTGTGTAAAAGAATGTAATTTCAATAGTGAGGGGATTTTATTTTCATTTTTCTTCATCACCCATAGCAAAATCAAAAACAACACATCAGATATTCACTTTCGGTTTGTTAAAGTAATCACCAATCAATTATGTTTCTCACCAGTGAACTACAATAAAGTACTAAGCCTCTACTTATTAGTGATAGTTCATACCTAATGTCTAATTTTATCTTAGAAATGATGTCAGTGATTACATTTTCTCCATGCAAAACTAGACATGTGATAAGCTGCAAGGGCCACTGGGGAAGGCCAGGAGAAAACTTAGTAGAGTATATCATGATATTAATTCTTCACAGAGTATATGCTTGATATTCATTCTTCACACAATCCTCAGATGTCTTCATGCTTTATTTCATTATGGGTTTTAAGGTCTCTGAAGTCATTCGTGTTTGACATTTGAGGAAGAAGCCGCACCTCATAGTCACAATGCTCAAAAAGAGAGTAGTCAAATAAAGCGCTGTAACACTAAAGCAGTTATAACAGCTATATATGTGAACTGTCAGTCTTTCTGGGATCTAGACCAAAGATCAATGAAATTACAAAACATCCCTACAGAGAGAATATTCTGCGTTCCCAAGTAGCATTTTTGCTGCTTTTAGTCCCTGATCATAGATGCAGTCTCACCAAGATTAACCAATCCCTAAAAATAATAGATTCACTCAACTGTAACATTTCTGACCCACTCCCTGGTATGCAAATGCAGCCATCAATCACATCAATCAGATGTACTGTTTCTCCCATTATTGATGTATTTGTCAGGGCTTCAAAGCTTCTAGGCTACCCTGAATGAGTAGTGGGTAGAGGGACTGGTTATTCATGACACAGCCTGGCCACTCTTTCACTCTCTCCTCATTGTATGGTGTACTCCATCAATATTGTTTTTAGAATGCTGACATTACAACCAAATTTAGCATGAGACATGATTTGCTGAATAATTATGAGAAAACAATTGTTACTACTCTCATCTGCTGGTGTTAAAACATTGAATCTAATAGCTGTGAAATATTTAGAAGCTGTGATGGATTCAGACCAATCCAAAACCTTCAGCTTGTTTTAGTGCAGTTTTCCTCTAGTATTTGGCTGCTCAATTAACAGAGCTGTGAATTTACTCCATACACTGGAGAGTCTGGGAATGGGTAAGTCAAGTATTCTTGCAAATATCTCCATCAGTAAAAGAAATCCAGCAATATATGAAGATGGGATCATAGTACATTCAAATGGGCCTTTATTTTCTGACTGTTCATGTAAATGAAATTCTCCAGCACCATTTGCATGCAAACATGGGAAGGAATAAATTTTCCCTAGTAGCGTAGACAGAGAATTCATGTGCTACTTTTGGTGCACTTCGACAGCACTCTGTTTCTCAGTGCCAACTGCCTATCAATGCCCGGAGAAACTCAACAGAGAGGCTTTGTAAGAAAACAAATAAATAAATAAATCTAGATGATGTGACAAAAGTTTAGCGTACAGGAAATAGGGAAAGAATAAAACTGTTATTAGAGCCTGAAGAGATGATGATCCATATTATGAAATAGCAAAGCACTGGGTAAAACTCATGCCTACAATTTGCTGTAGAAAGAGCACGTGTCCAATGAACTAGCAGCTGTGAGGAAGCAGTTGAGGAGTATGAAAGTATTAGTGTCTGTTGGCTACTGTTACACACTTTTGTGCAGTTATTGTAAGAAAGCTAGCAATGCAAGAATCACTCAAGTTGCAAGCAGAAATAAAAGAAAATAAAGTGTCTATGGAAATTTAAAGTCATAGTGAGAACAGAAAGTACTTCTGATCCCGAAACAGTGAGTGTCATGGTAAAGACTTATATAAAAGAAGTCACACTAAAACACAGCTATGCCAGAAACATCCCTTCCAACAAGAATGAAGCAAGTTTTCAATTTATTTTTATAAAAGCAATTAGAAAAATGAACAAATTGTATTAAAGGAATATGCATTGACCTTTACATTCATAGATGCAAATAGGTCAGCACGTACAAAGGAGTGGTATCACTACAAACAGCGTTCTTATTATGGCTTCAAATACTATCCAGATGTGGATGCCAAGAAAAATAAACCAATGAGTAACACTGAAAAGAATCTCCAACATAACATTTTGTCAAGTAGATCAATTTAAAGTTAACAGAGTCCGGGGTTACTAGAATTTGCAGGACAGACAAAAGAACAGACAAGCACTGTGTCAGAAGTATGTAGGCAAACTGTAGGTCTCCATCACAGTATTTACCGGAGCCAGAGTGAAGAAAACTTCCAAAGGCCAGGTAAATAACTAGGAA